CAGAACAATGGGAAAAGCTGGGTGCCACATCACATGACTGTATTCCCAGTGCTGGGGAGGCAGAGGCAGGAGGAGCCTTGGGGCTCTCTGGCCAACCAGCCTAGTAAACAAGGAAGAAACACTATCCCCCAAAAGTAGGATTGAAAGCAACTGAGGAAGACACTGCATATCAATCAGCCTCTGCCCTCCACATGTACACACATGTGTGCATAAGGCCTACACACAATACACAACATCAAATAAAGGGACTGACACACTATGAGTTCAGTGAAGATGACATTATTGTGGAACATAATTGAAACAATTAAGCCTTCTCTAAAAAAAATTTACCACCAAAATAAAAATAGTTGGGAAACTCTGAAAAGTCCAAGAAAAGATTATAGGATAAATTCCTCCCAATATCATCCTATAAAAGTCCTTCTGCTGGCACACCGATCTGCAGGCATCTTGCCTGCAGCCTGCACCCTGAAGCCCTGGGGAATGTTACACAACTTGGTGTTTCTGACGCTGTTCATAAACATGGTTTTAATTGCTACTTAACAGCCCATTCTGCCATAATTTTCTTAACCTTGCTCTTAGGTTTTGAATAATTAGGTGGAAAACAAAGATTTAAATGGAAAGCAGTGTCTAGAAGAGCAATAGGTATTTACCAGAAACTAAAACACCAAACAACATATAACATAGATATTTGAACTCTGGAGTTATAAAAACAAAATTTGTTGCACTGTTTTTTTTTGATGATATAAAAATTCAATGAGAATACTTACTTTTAACATAATATTTAAGTTATTTTGAGACTATCATATGTCCATACAATGTTTTTGGATCATATCTACCTCCCTTCTTCCCCATAACACATCAGCCCCTCCCAAATTTGTGTACTGTTTTTAACCCACTGGTTCTAGGTCATGCTGCTCATATACTGATTAATATGAGGCCATCCACTGGAGCATGGCCTATCACTACGGACCACACCCTTAAAGAATACTGATTCTCAAACTCCCAGAATCCATCAGCTCTTCACTGTTCCTCCATTGGGAGCTAGGATGGCAAGGCTCTGCCTCTGTCATGCTGGAATGCTGAGTGGCTTGATCTTCTGAGTCAACTACAGTTGCCATGAGGTCATGAGTGAAGCAGCCCTTTCATGTCCAGAAGACATTGTTTCACTCCAGTCCTCCCCAACTTCTGTCTCTTACAATCTTTCTGCCCCCTCTTTCAAGATAGTGCCTACCCTGTTATGTAGGCCTGTTATGTAGATTTCCCATTTGTGACTGACATCCATGAACATACGTTGACATTCTCATTTAGTAATCAGAACAATTCACCCAAATTTCTATTGTATCTACTTTTTGAGAATAAGGAAAACGACATCGGGAGAGGTGGAAGGTCTTGGCAGACAGTCACACATGGAATAAGGAGTTGATCCCAGGCCTGTCTGAAGGGAATGCTGTTTTCCTATTTACTATATATGTATATCCCAAGTTAGCTTTTGAATGTGTTCTGTTGATACCAATAGAAGGCTATCATTAAAATGGAAACAAATTACAAACAATAATTCATTTCTAGTGTGTCTTACTAGCTTTTTTAATTGTTGTGAGAAGAGACCATGACCAAGACAACTTACAGAAGAGCTTATTTGGAGCTCACAGTTTCAGAGGGCTAGAGTCCATGACCATCATGGCAGGGAGCATGGCAGCGGCAGGCAGACAGGCACTAAAGCAGCTGAGAGCTCACATCTTGATCCTTAAGCATAAGTCAGAGAGAGGTAACTGGGAATGAGATGGCTTTTTTGAAACCTCAAAGTGCCCCTGCCCCGTGACATGCCTCCTCCAAGACCACACCTCGTAAGTCTCTCACTAACTGGGAACCATTAATATGAGCCAATGGGGGCTATTCTTCAAATCACTACTTGGTATAAGCAGATTCACTTGTCTACTAAAGCCCCAGAACAGCCAAGGAAATCATCAGTAAATAAAATCCTTTGGTCTTGTCTAAAATGTTTAAAATTCAAATATGTTGGAGGTTTTCCTCAACTTCATTAAATATGGGGTAGGGAGCTGTGCTAATTGTAGCCACTGCAGTAAAGTCTGGGTTCTGAGACTGAGTGGAAATTGATGGCGCTAAAAGTATTCTGTAATTAAGTGAAAACTGTGCTCTGCAGCTTAATTAGTCTGCTGTGACTTAGTTTAAGTGGAAACAGTAAATCCTGCTGAATCTCATTAAATGGGAGCCCAGCAGCCCCAACTCACTGAAGTTCTGGTTCCTATGGAGGTAGAGTTTACATATGTACTCCTCTAGTGAGGAACACAGGGAAGGTGACCCACGAGTACATGATATGAAATCCCTCTATCTTCCATTCAGATTAAACAGTACTTCAGATCACAGGGACTCTCCATAGGGATGTGTGGCTGACTTCCTAAGGATGTGAAGACACTGACCTCTCAAATGCTGGATGGGGTGATGGGAGTCAACAAACCATTGTAAGATTCCCTTGGCAGGCTCTTCTTTTCCATTGCAGACTGACTGAACCTGCATCTTTGGAAAGCTGTTAGAAAACATATTTTCTCCAGACTTCTCAGAGTTTAATCATCATAAGGCTTAAAGGGACTTAAAAGAAAGGAAATTTTTTGTTTTAATTTATTGAACAGTTATAAAAGCAAACCTTAACACAGAAAATTCTGGAAATACGAAGTTTGAAGCAAGAAACCCTCTACTCCATTGCCCTCTCTGCCCTTGGTGACATGCTACTGTACATCCCCATGTTACCAGGGCTGCTGTTGTTTGAGATTCTTGATGGTTTCTACTAGGAACACACATTAAAAAGAAATTTTTCTCTTCATCCCCCACCTTAGCCTGTATACCTGATGGCCATTACTTTTGCTTCCAGCATCTCAGGCATATTGTCAGCCCACCTGCTGTTTCAATGAGGGAAGACCTCTGCCAGGCAGAACCCATTTCTGTGGTGGGAATGAATGTTCCAAACTGACAGAGAAGACATGAAGACCTCCTGCTTATTCAGTAACTTGGAGTAATCACATTTGCTGACCCTTATTCCTTAAATGTTTGGGTCCAAAATAAATAGGGTTGTGATGGCCATTCAGGCAACTTTAAGGAAGTGCTCTCTTGCTGGGTTGGTACCACCCAGGCTGCCAGCAGGGTGAAAGGGAGATTACCCTCAGCCAGGTTGTCACCAGACTCAAGGTTCTAGAGCTGTTTGAGATGAGCAAGTGAAGGGGCCACAGAACACTTTCAACTGCTTCTTCTCTTTTGTCTAAAGAGAACAAATGATTCCCAAGCACCTGGAAAGTGATGTAGCTGGAACACAAAGTCTGGATGGCCAATACAGTGCTGGCCACTAGGGTCTTCCCACATCTAACAGCCCTGGGGCCCAAAGTGATCCCCAGAAGTCACACGTTTCCCAGACAGTGGGAATCAGGGTTCCATCCGGGACATTCCCCCTCCCTTACTCATGATTCTGAGGTGAAATGACTGTGCCAGGAAACTGCCAGAAGGTACACACCAGTATCCTACAAGTCAGACCCCACAGCCCCTCCATCTTTCTCTATCCCTGAGAAGCACCACCCTTGCTTAAATAGTTCCTAAGTCCCTTGAGAGACTCACCCCTTTCTCCTTGATCTGGCCACCTAAAGAACTCTCTTCAGACTTAATGACTCTAAAGCCAGCCAGGGGCAGCCCTTGCAGAGAGCTCTGCCTTGGGCACCCACACTGCCTTTCATGAAGTAAGAGAGTAGACGACGGGGCTTCCCTGACAGTATGTGCATAGGAGAGTTAAAAGGGAAACAATATATATTGACATACATTCACCCTGCTACAGAAAAGATAAAGGTGCATAGCCAAGCACCCTTCTTTAGCACCAGGAGGCAAACCTTGACACAAGCAGATAGTCCTAGGTTTGTAAGCCAAGCAGAATTGAAATCCTGTGACTCCCTCATTGGGGCAATAACTCAGGCTCCCTTTCCTCCTGGCATGGTACTTAGCATATGATAAAGTCAATTCTCCCATTTGTGCCCAGGGCCACCCAAGTCCCTGTCCAGCCAGCCCAAGAATGCTGCTCCAATTCTTTGTATTCTAGGAGCAATTCAGATCTGGGCCTCCCTTCTTAAAATATGTCTGCTAACACATTTGAAACTGTCTTTAAGTACAGAGGTACCCAATGAAGGATAGCTCAATTTAATATATTTTAACTGCACAATGGTAGACAAGTGGCCATTCACTATAAATTGAACTTTGAATTTCGGCCTTTACCTGGACCACCGTCCATACGCAGTAGGGTTCCCTTACCATACTGGGCAGCACTCTGGAGTCAAGCACATAACCGCCAGAGTTAATGCCCGGTTCTCTGCAGTGGGCTGTGGCATTAAGGTACAATGTTCAGGAGGTTACATTCACTAATGTCTCTTTATAGTATCTTCAACTTGCTGTGGACTTATTTGTTGTAGGCTCTGATGTAGGCTCAGGAGCAACTTACTGTATGTTTAGCTGATTTGCTGATATAAATGATGTTAGTGGTTATTTTCTGCTGGAAGAAAATCATAGCTGGGGAAGTGGATGTGGTTAGGTTGGTAGAGTGCTTGCCTAGAATGTACGAAGCCCTGGTTTTGATCCCCAGAACTGTGTAAACCCAATGTACTGCATACCTGTAATCTCAGCACTCAGGAGTTGGAGGTTGAAGGATCAAAATTTCAAAGCCATTTTCAGTTGCATAGCAAGTTTGAGGCCAGGTTGGAGTACATGAGAATTAATTAAAATTAAATTTAAATTTTATTTAAAATTAATTAAATTTTATTTAAAAAGTCAGAGCTGATCCATTTTGACAACTAGGGAGGTACCCTGCAGAAGATCCATCTGTTTCTGGGTGTTGCCTGCCTATTCATCCTCCTCTTCCCATTTGATCTATGAGGCAAATGCATCTCTAGAAACAAACCAGGTAAACACAATGTGATTTTCAGTCCACTCTCTTCATTTCTCCTATCTCTTAGTCAGATACGGAGTTCTGGGATAAGATGCAGGCAGAGTGGGAAGAAATGGCCCGAAGGAACTGGATATCCGAGAACCAAGAAGCCCAGAACCAAGTCACCGTGTCAGCCAGTGAAAAGGTAACTCAGTCTATCCTCACATGCTAGTGAGTGTCTCAAGACTCATCAGCCCACATGTCATGGACCAGTCAGTAAGTACTTTGTGATCTAGGAGAATCTGTGCTCGATGGGAAACAGGTAATTCTGGCGTGTGAGGGTAGCTGGTCTGGAATGAAATGTCCCTGTTTATTACTGCTCCCACCATTTGTTACCTACCCAAAACCTTCCAGGGCTCATCACCAGCCACCTTGTCCTGGTCATATCAAATCCCGGTGATGATTCTGAGGCTTCGGGCTGCATCTCATGGTGTTAGCACACTATCAGCAAAGACTGTCATGCAAAGAATGCTCTTCACATGACCAGGTCACGGCCAAAGGACTACACAATGATACTCTACTGCTAAGAGCCCTGGAAAATAGAAAAGTACAGCAAACCGCTAGCCAGATTGTCCACTAAGTCATGGCTGCTTTGAAATCTCTGCCTTTAAAAACACTTAGTGAAAGGAAGACACTAGAGTTACTCACAAGTATGCTGAGAGCCAGAGAATTGGATGTTTCTTAAACAGAAAAAAAATCACATACACATACAAATGCACACACGGAAATACATGTATACGTATAGACATGTGTGCATATACACACATGTTTATTGATAAAAGTTTACCACTCAGCTTAGATATATGGAGTAAGTCTCAATAGTATTCAGTCCTGGATAATGTTCAGGACATTTTACTGAATACCACAAATACTTGTGTAGCATGTACTCTGCACTAGGTAGAGGAGATATGAGGGCCAATCTGATTTTAGGGGATTTGTCATTCAAGTGTCTCTCATCGCAGTGGTCTCTATCCCTCAAGAGGTCAGGCAGTCTCAAAACATAATTTTTTAAAGTAACTACCTACCCCACAAAATAAATATCCAGTATGGTAAAGTAACTACCTATCCCACAAAATAAATATCCAGTATGGGTAAGGAAGAGAGGACACTCTGGATTCCCAGACCCCAAGTTATCATCCACACACGTGAGGCCTGACTCCACCCTTCACCGTATGCCTGCAGATCCTCTGGCTGTTGACACAATGTTTCATTTTTCTGATCACCTATGAAAAACAAATGCTCCCACTGTCTGTCTTTAGACCATAGTAACTTCGTCACCAGATGAGTTTGTATCAGTCAAATTAAAAGGATTTTCTGATTGTTTATGCCAGTGAAGCAGCAACAAATAACATTCTCAAATATTAGGGAAATATTTTAGCCCCAGAGCAGAGCAGCTACATATGTACCGTCTTAAAAGGCTAGCATAAAGTTAAAAAAAAAGTGCAAAACAATCCTGAAGAATGAAGTTTTCACTGTAGTTTTATTTAAGAAAATAAATAAATACATTTTTGAGATAGTGGTTAATTTTGTAGCCCAGGTGGGCTAAAGCTTACTATGTTGCCCAGGATGACCTCAAACTCAGGGTGACCCTTCTGCCTCAACCTCCATTGATCAGAATTCCAGGCATGAGCCACCCTATCACTCTCATTTTTTAAAAATAACCAAAATGGCTCCTCTTCCTGTAAGGAACCTGAGGTAAGCTGTGAAGATGGTTCACTACTCTCTCGACCCAGAAAACCCTACAAAATCATGCAAGTCAAGAGGTTCAAATCTCCAGGGTTCACTTTAAAAGTACCCATAATACTACTTAGGCCATTAAGGGTATGCAAATCCAAAAAATCACCAAATACCTGAAAGACGTCACTTTGTTTTTTTTGGTTTTTTTTTTTTTTTTGTATTTTTTTTTTTTTTGCTTTTTTTCAAAGATTTTATTTATTTATTATGTATACAGTCTTCTGCCTGCATGCCAGCAGAGGGCACCAAATCTCATTCAAGATGGCTGTGAGCCACCATGTGTTTTCTGGGAATTGAACTCAGGACCTCTGGAAGAACAGTCAGTGTTCTTAACCGCTGAGCCATCTCTCCAGCCCCCAAGATGTCACTTTGAAGAAGCAATGTGTGCCATTCTGGAGGAACAATGGTGGAGTTGGCATGTGTGCCCAGGCCAAACAGTGGGGCTGGACACAGGGTTGGTGGCCAAAAAAGAGTGCTGAATTTTTGCTGCACATGCAGAGAGCAATGCTGAGCTTAAGGGTCTAGACGTAGATTCTCTGGTCATTGAACACACCCAGGTGAACAAAGCACCTAAGATGCACTGATGAACTTACAGAGCTCACGGCCGGATTAACCCATTCATGAGCTCCCCCTGCCACATCGGATGATCCTCATGGAAAAGGAACAGATTGTTCCAAAGCCAGAAGAGGAGGTTGTACAGAAGAAAAAGGTATCCCAGAAGAAACTGAAGAAACAAAAGCTTATGGCAGGAGAATAAATTCAGCATTAAAATAAATGCAGATAAAAGTAAAAACAAATGTCCATGAACAAGGACTGAATCAATATATTTAGCATATCTACCTAAATCATTTTTAGTAATGTAGGATAACCGCAATCCAAAACTAAGTAGGGTGTAAGTTTCAAGGCTGTGAGTGAGCCTTCTAAGTTGAATATTCATAGAAAATACTAGATGAGTGCTTGCATATTTTGTGTTAAATATTTGCTAATGAAAAAATATTTTTTAAAAAAAATGCATTTCATTAGGGGCACCTGTATCCCCCAGTGAAGCAATAAGTTGTCCAGAGATTTACTTGATGTAAGAAGGAAGGCAGACAATGATATGTTATATCGTGGACTCTTCTGTGCCACAGGGTTATTACTTCCACACTGAAAATCCCTTCAAGGACTGGCCTGGAGCATTTGAAGAAGGCTTAAAGAGGCTGAAGGAAGGAGACCTACCTGTCACCATCCTGTTCATGGAAGCAGCAATTCTTCAGGACCCTGGAGACGCTGAGGTGCCATCCCCCTCCACTCTTTCAGACTGGGAAAGTGCCCAAGTGTGCTAAGGGGTCAGGATAAGAAGCGATGCTTTCAGGGTGTATCTTCACCAGGGTGTATAAAGGAGTTCCCCTGGCTCAGGCTGATCCTGTTAGAAAACTATGCATTACCTACTTTCTGAGTTTCTAATCTTTGAGATCCAGAGCCTCCTAAAATAAAAACTGAGGACAGAAAACACAAAAGTAGCCAACTTGGGCCAGGCATGGTGGTTCTCACCTTTAATCTCGACACTGCGGGGCAGAGCAGAGGCAGGCAGGCAGAGCTCTGTGAGTTCAAGGCTAGCCTGGTCTACATAGAGAGGCTAGGCCAGCCAGGGCTTCATGAGACCATGTATCCATCAAAAATAAATAAATAAAACATGGACACGAGGTTTGCCCATGGATTTTAGGGAGGAATATGGCTTTTGTCTGGGACTCAAGTCACACCATATATTACCCTTGATTTACTCACCCAACATTTATAGAACATCTACTGTGTCCTCAAAACTGTGCTGAGTCCTAGCATAAAAGGTTGAAGAGTCGTGGAAATGCACAGTAGTTAAGAAGACATCTTTGTGGTGCATACGCAGAGATGAGTAAATAAAGCAAGGAATCCAGTCAGTTCAGAGTACAGCTGGAGTGTGCAATGGGTCCTCCCCAAGGCCGCTTCTCTGTAATTAAGCTTGCTCCCCACAGAGCATCACGGCCAAACTAACTAAAGTGGCAAACAGTGTGCTTTCGTTTTGCAGTGTTAGCAGTCTGTTTTGTGTTTGTGTGTTTTCTTGTGTTGGTTTGGTTTGGGTTTTTGTTTACTTGGCTGGTGTTTTGTTTTGTTCTGTTTTGTTTTCATAGGCATGGCAGTTTCTTGGTATAACCCAGGCAGAAAATGAAAATGAACAAGCAGCCATTGTCGCCCTCCAGAGGTAGGCCTGGGGCACAGGTGGGACTGTGCTCTTCTTCCAAGTGGAGTGTGAAGAATTTGTCCAAGGCCTGTGCTGGGATGCCAGGTTCCATTCACATATAGTTCTGATGGCATAATTTTCCCGTAATGCTTCTCAGTCTATAAATCAACTCATGTTCTGTAGAACCAAATAAAGGCTGCGTTTAAAGCAATCAGAAGTCAGACTCGTTGAATCAACAGACTTTCATGCTCTAGGTGTTTGCAACTTCCAAAAGTTTTCTTCAGGGAAAAAAAATGTGTTCAAATTACTGTCTGCAGGTGGAGATCGCTTCAGGTGGAAGGAGGGACAGAGCATGAGTGTAGACTCGCCCACTTAATGAGAGCCCTCATTTAAACCCTTGAATAAAAGTTTCCACTATACATAGTTGTACTCTCCATGCATTTCTTGTATGTACTGTTCATGTAATGCTATAGGAAGGAAGCAAATATACATACACATATATGCTCAACATATTATATACAAATGTGTGAGTTATGGATGTGCTAGAATGTGTGTGGTGCAAAGTCCATCTTTTGCACTTCTAAATTTGGAAAATCCTGCTAGAGGCAGCAATAGTCTGGGACATGTACAAGCCAGCATTAGTAGTCTAGAAAAAGAGATTCCCCTCTCTTTTGCAGAATGTTGTACAGCCTTTCATCTCACCCAGTTTAGGGGAGTTAAGAGAATGCATCCAGGGAGGGAGAGGGAACAGGGATTGACATGCAAAACAAGCTTGTTCCTAATTTAAATTAAAAAATAGAAAAAAGATATCGCAGCCACTTTTAAGTAATTTTCTCTCTGTATCATATAGCAGCCACACTTTAGAAAAGTTTATTAAAGTTATCAAAACAAGATCTGGACAAATGGACTTAGTGTTTAACAGCACTGGCTGCTCCTGCAGAGTACATGGTAGCTCATAACCATCTGTAACTCCATTTCCAGGGGATCCAGTACCCTCTTCTGAACTCCATAGGTACCAAACTCAAACATGGCACATAGACATACATGCAGGAAAAACACTCATGTACATAAAATAAAATGTTTTTAAAACACAAAGTTACAAATTCAGCTATTGTGGGGATGTTTTAACCACTTGTTTAAAAGAACACTCCTTGATCTGGGTTTGCAATTTTAATTAATACTTTTAATTAATAAAGGCTTCAAGGATGCATAATTGATCTGTTTTGCCTTCTCTCAAGGTGCCTGGAGTTACAGCCCAACAACTTGAAAGCTCTAATGGCCTTGGCTGTGAGTTATACCAACACCGGTCATCAACAGGATGCCTGTGAAGCTCTGAAGAACTGGATTAAGCAGAACCCAAAGTACAAATACCTTGTAAAAAACAAGAAGAGCTCTCCAGGCCTCACTCGGCGGATGTCTAAGTCCCCAGTTGACAGGTTGTCCTCATTCTATGTAGAATCCTATTACTATGACAAAATACCTGAGAAAAACAGCTTATAAAAAGGAAAAGTTTCTTTAAGCTTACCTTTTTGAAGGTTAGACAATGGTCAATTAGCCTATTGTTTTAAGAACTGTTATGAGAGCTGGGCAGTGGTGGATCTCTGTGAGTTCAAGGCAAGCCTAGTCTACAAAGCGAGTTCCAGGTCAGCCAGAGCTGTTACACAGAGAAACCCCCCTGAAGAAGGGGAAAGGTCACCATCCCCTGAGCAAATTGAGAGCATGGGAAGAGGGGGGAGGGAGCTACGAAAATGAGAAGGGAAGAAGAGGAAGGATGCAGAGGTCATGAGGGAGCAGAAAGGTTGAGTCGGGTGTAGATTAGAAGAAAGGATATGTGATAGGTAGGGTTTTAGTTGGGGGGGTGGTAGGGGAGGAAGGGAGGGAGAATGGAACTGGGATTGTCATATAATTCAATCTTGTTTGTAATTCAAATTTAAAAAGTAGGCAAAAAACAAAAACAAACAAACAAAGAAACTGTGATGGGATGGCACATCAAAGTAAAAGCACATAGTCTAGGAAGTAACTCACCTCACAGTGGCTGGGAAGAAAGGGGAGATAGCAAGGTTTCCCCATATCCCCTTCAAGCTCTGCTTCCATGACCTAACTTCCTTCCATCCAGGCTCCCACTTTGCAAAGGTTCTACCACCTCCCTACAGCACTACAGGCTGGTATTTGTGGGGGACACATATCTAAACCCTGGAAGCTGTCCTTTAGACACAATGATCTGCATTATGGTCATTCGTAGACTTATGGCCATTCAAGTACCATATCTCAAATCCAAGTGCTTTTTCACTTTGGGATTAATGCCAATACGCTGAGAACTATGGTTGCATAGACTAATGTCCCTTGTTGGAAGAAATCATAATTGATTCTCATTGAATCCTTGCTCAGCTCAGCTTCAAGGATGAAACACTGGGTCAGTGATGCTCTCCCATAAGGGCCTTACTTAACATGGCTTGTATATGTGTTTTGTTGAGTATTTGTAACAATTGACCATGTTTTTTTTTTATAGTCCAGTATATCCAGTATCCAAATATATATTCACTGTTTTTTAATTTTTATGCATATGGGAATTTTGCCTGGATGTAGATCTGTGCCTGGCACTTGCAGAGGCCAGAAGAGGATGTTGGTCCCTTGGAACTAGGGTTGCAGACGATTGTTAGCCACCATGTAGGTACTGGGAGTCAAACCCAGGTCTTCCACAAGAGCAATAAGCACTCTTAGGCACTGAGCTATTGCTCCAGCCCCTAAACTATTTTCAGGAAAATGTTTCAATCTGGGGGAAGAGCAGTTAAGAGACCATGATTCTCTTCCAAAGGACCCAAGTTCAGTTCCCAGCAACCATATCAAACACTACACAACCACCTGTAGCTCCAGCTCCAGGTGATTCAACTTCCTAGGCACTAAATCAGATTCTTCCTTCATAGCTCTGTTCTGGAAGGAGTGAAGGAATTATACCTGGAAGCTGCCCACCAAAATGGTGACATGATAGACCCGGACCTGCAAACAGGTCTTGGAGTGCTGTTCCACTTGAGCGGGGAGTTCAACAGAGCAATTGATGCATTTAATGCTGCCTTAACTGTTCGGCCAGAGGTAAGGAATCACAGCACAGCAAAAACACCCTGGGGTGGGGGTGGGGACTCACTAAAATCAAGCAAGCTTTCATGGGCGATACTGTGTCCATTCCTTCTACATTTTAACTCTGCCACTGTGATTTCAAGTACAGATGATAAACCACGCAGCTGTCCATACCAAAATGCCTAAAACAGAAACACTAATTATAGGACATCAGATAACCACTGCTCTTTAAGGAATAAAAGTCCTTTTCACCAAGTAAACCAGAGAGAATTTTTAATAATTCAGCTCATTACAGACTCTTCAGCCATCTTGCTTTACCTGTCAAGGGAAGAGGTGGGAGCACTACCATGGTGCTCCTGGGTATTAGCTAGCTCTGGTCTTTGTCATAAGGATTACTCATTGTGGAACCGTCTTGGGGCAACCCTGGCAAACGGAGACCGTAGTGAGGAAGCTGTGGAGGCCTACACAAGAGCACTGGAGATCCAGCCAGGCTTCATCCGCTCCAGATACAACCTGGGGATCAGCTGCATCAACCTGGGTGCCTACAGGTGAAGTATGCCTGGGTTCAGACAGATTGTCTGGGGCCCAACACCCACGTAAGCCTTTATTAACTATTAATAGTTCAACCTTTTATTCCTCCATTTAAGGGAAAAAGAACCGTGGAGATGGAAAAAGCCAGGGGGATCTAATAAAACAGCCTTGGGAGGTCCAGAGCCAACGTTTAGCAAAGTCAAGCCAAGAATAAGTTGTTCTAAATGTGATGTACAGATAGAATTAGAGAAGAAAAATGATAAGGTAGATTTATTATTTAAAATACAATAAAGTTAGGGGGGAAAATTAAATGATGGGTTATTGTTTAAAATGCCCTGGCATAGTTAAAGGCCCCAAAAGCTCCAAAGCCATTGAACATCCAGGATCTCAGCTGTTACCACTCCCACCCTCACCCCTACCCTCAACCCACCCCATCCTCACCCCACCTTCACCCTCACCCCTACCCTCACCCTCACCCCCACAGTCACCCTACCCCATTCTCAGGATGCCTTTATACTTCCTACAAATGCTAAAGGCCTTTTTTAGCTAATGTGAGTTTTATCTATGAAAACCTGTGGTCTCAGAAATTAAACTAGAGCATTTTAAGAGGTTTCGTTGAAAAGTCATAAAACATTGCATATCAACAGAAATGACATGCTTTACAAGAAATTACTTTCCAAACCAAGCTGTACCAAGAAAAAAGAGTGGCATGCACTGAAAAATTCCTTTAGATCCTGCTTCCTGGAACCAGTTTCCCTGCCTTTGTATTCTGTCTGTTGCACCTCACGTGCATGAGCAGGCGACTGAGCAGATAAGGAGGTGAAAGTGAAAAAGGTCACATGCCATCTCAGTTTCCCAATGAAAACCCTAAAATAACCTCCACTACCCTTTATTCACATAGCTGATCGTCTGCAAAAAAAATTGCCTAAGGGTGAGCAGCTGTGACCAAAGGCCAGCTGTTGTAACAATGAAGCACAATTCCTTTTTCTGTCACTGCCAGGCAACTTTAGGCCACCTTGTTTTCTTGGAGGGCCATTTTCTCCCCTTCAAGACAGGTGGCATAGATCACTTCTGCACACTGATAATGGCTCCAGTCATTCCCAGAGCAGGGGAAATGCATCGATTTAGCAGTGGTGGCATTGACCTCCCTCCTCTGTGCTTTCCTGTTCTCTTTATGGCCCACGCTATTTCACATTAGCTGATCACAAGACAATAACTAGGGACCCTGAAAGGCATCCCTGGGGAGCCCACTGGCCCTGGAGAGGAGACTTTGTTTATTGTGCTGACTCTGGGATTCATTGCATTTTAAGATGTGCCTTTCTCCCTCTTTAGGGAAGCGGTCAGCAATTTTCTCACTGCCCTCAGTTTGCAAAGAAAGAGCAGGAACCAACAGCAAGTCCCTCACCCTGCCATCTCGGGGAACATCTGGGCTGCCCTCAGAATTGCGCTGTCACTGATGGACCAGCCAGAACTCTTCCAGGCAGCCAACCTTGGTGACTTGGATGTTCTCCTAAGAGCTTTCAACTTGGATCCTTAAAGGAAAAGGGGGAAATACAGAATAAGTCCTCATCTGTTATTATACTAAAAAGGGACAAAACTATTTTATTATGGATTTCCAAAAAGATTTTTTTTTTAAGGCTGAAGCAGAGAGTCAAAAGGTCGTGGTCATATAACCCAAGGGGATTGATTACTATAGACAATCCCTAGCCTCTGTTCAGATCCAAAAGCACAAAGTCAAGGGTGGGTTCAAGAGAAGAACTAAGATTCTCCGGACAAACCAAGATAAGGTAACTGTGTATACTCTTCCAAGTTACAAGTAGACTTTGAGTTATTGCCTCCCTAGTCACAGCTGGTGGAGTCACACTGGTGGAGTCAATGCTGGTGGCACATCTGAGGAGCCTGTTCATGGGACCTAAAGCAAGACAGTTTGTCTGCCGACAGTGAACTCAGGCTGTCTCAAAGTTGTCTGCCCCTTTTGCGAGACTGAATACAGTCTGGGCCATTGACGCATGCACACATACAACCCGAGTAAAGGCAGGTATCGCTTCCCCTCCTCCCTTTCAACTTTTTACTGTAAGCCGTTGTTTCCAGAGAGAGCTTTGCTGGCAACAGCAGTTTTTGCACTAGATGTTTTTGCTGTTCCCAATGAAATCCTGTCTAGGATTGTAAATAAGCACTTTAATATTTTATTTATGCCTTGCTGGGCTTCTGGTTTGTTGCTCCAGTTTCTAACATTGGGGGGGGGGGTAACTAGAAGATGTGAGACAGATTTGTTAGCTCAATGGACCAAATAAAAAAACTGAGAAGAGTTTTTCTTAGTGTAGGGTTTTGAGGGTGTGTTGGCATAGAATGTAAATGTGTTAAACCCAGTTTCCTTTGCTTGCTTTCTGGGACTCTGTGGATCTCAGTAGGAAGCAAGTTCTGCCTCAGCATTCTCCCTGCAGAAGGAAGCGTGTCGATTCTGTGATTTCTAATGAGTTTGTGTTAACTTGTTTTCATACCCTGTTTTCCTGCTTTCTAACTGCCCTGCACCAGATACTCCTTTTAAACTGTTACTATTTTAAATGGTATTTCTTAAGTGTGATAAATACATTTTTCCTAAAGTTGATGTGTTTCCTCAGTTCCATAATAGCCCACACTGTCCACCTCCTCGAGTTGTGAGGGACAGAAGGTCACCTGTATGACCCAGCTGCACTGAGTGGCAGAGTTCGTCTCTGAAGAGGCACCCCTTGGGCTCCAATTTAAACACTCAGAGAGAACCAGACCTTTTTCACTGGCAGAGATACCTTACTTAACTGTTGGCCTTCCACATATCTCTTCAGCTTACTTTGTGGCTGTTTGGGGCTCAGTGATTACTATTTCAAAAGATACATCTATGAAGAATTGGAGAAATGTTGGCAAAAGACTAACCAAAATACCATTTTGCTTGGCTCTGATGTTAGTAAATTTCCCTGTTCTTCTTCACCTGTGCCCTTCCCACCTCCAGACTCTCCCTGAAAGTAGCCTGGTCCCAACTTTTTCATGTTCTTTGCTTTCTAATAACTCACTCCACTAGCAACTGTAGTTACTAAAAACCATATTTTGAGTCAAAACAGATTAATTAACTATGGAATTATCTACTCCTGATTGAAAATGTGTGCCCAGAGGCTGACTGAGCCCCTCTGTCACTGTGGAGTCCCCTGGATTGTGAGAGACCTGAAGTTCACAGGTGACTACAAGTCCTCGAGGCTTATCTATCACAAGAGCTTTCTGACTTACAAGGAGAAGGTTATGAGGCCATTGTAGTGACATCAGGATTTTCTCTTCATTTTCAATGGTCCCTGTGATAGAGCAATGGTCTCAGCTCTGCAGCAGGACACAGAAGCATTAATGCATCCATTCCTGGGCCCGACAACATCTCACGATAGCCTTTAACGGCTAGTCATCACTCCATCCATGGTCCATGCTGCTAATAAGTCTGAGCAGCAAAGCAAAGGTCAAATGTATTTTGAAGATTTTCTAGACCAGTGGTTCTCAACTTGTGGGTCACAAACACTTTGGTAAAATTCTATCTCCAAAAATATTTATATCATGAATCATAACAGTAGAAAATTTACAGTTATGAAGTAACAATGCGAATAATTTTATGGTTGGGTGGTTACCACAACATGTAACTGTATTAAAGGGTCACAGCATTAGGAAAGTTGAGAACCACTGCTCTAGACTGATAGAAACACTGGGAAGACCTCTTCGGGCCAGACTGTTGACCATGGTACTGACTGCTTGATTGCTGCCGATAGTGTAGTGACCATTCCTACCTCCTTCCCCACTCCAAGAGTCACCTGTTGGCCACCTGATTTGATGTCCTCAGAGACCCTCCAAAGACTGTATACAAAGAGTTCAAAGCAACCTTCATGGCCATTCTGTTCATAATGCTATCCCAGGCACTCGTCTTGCCAGAATGGTGCCCAACCATATCTTCAGCCCTGCAACTAATTCACATAGGAGCTCAATCTCACCCTGACCTGTGCAAATGTGGGAAATTTTATTTTATTTGATTGTTGCTAAATAGAGTCACATATTGTGGTCCAAGTTTATTTTACAGGGATACCAAGTAGCTTCAGACTCTAGAGAGTTATATTAGGAGACATTTGACAGTTTTCCACTTCACCATTATGTAGCATTTTGAAGGACATTTTGTGGACTTTCTCCACTCCATTAGTTCTGTCCATCACAATTAAGATTTTCATAGGCTACCACCTAGCGGGAAGCCCAAAATTATTGCCTAAGAGGGAAAGAGTTACAATTTTCAATGCTATGGTAATGATAATAAGTACAAACCAATAGCTAAAAAGTGAAACTTTGTATAAATAGAACCATAGCAGACATTAAGCAATGAGACTTTAGTGTCTTTCTCGTGGCATCTGCATCCTTTTGTTGTATGCTTTTTAAATGCAGAAATGTCGAGAACTTTTCATTTTCACAGCAAGAAATTGCCTCTTCTCTTTCTGTTTGAAAGATTAGGGCATTCTTTTGAGGCCCTGGGGAGGATCTTAAGGAAAGGACTCATTCATACAATGGCCACTCAGTAGCTTCCAGGGACTGATTTTGCCAGTAAATTGGATGAAAATGCAGAGAAAGCCATTAATCACTGCTGAGTTTCAAAATGTTACAAGTTTTGATAGAACATCTGAATACAAAGAAGAGGCAGAAGAAAGAGGGATTGGGGATGTAGTGCAGTGAACTCCACAAACCGCCCATGGTGGTATATAGCTGTACTCCAGCACTTGGGAAATGGAAGCAGGAAGATCAGGCGATTATGGTCATGCTGGGCTCTAGGAGACCCTGTACAGATGAGGAGTGAAGGACCTTCTAACCAAGTCAATCTCAGTGATTCTGCCTTCTCAGTACTTCATGCCAACAGCCCTCCCTACAACCCACCAGAAACTTAATATCTAACAATGAAGTGCACTTCCTCAGCCAGTCTGATGTCTGCCAGAATTGGGTAGGAACATCCAGAATACACTCCCTCTCAGACTTGCATGCCATTTTTATTTATATTGAGAGATCTGCTGACTCTTAGGTCAATATCCAAATTCTTTTTTAGATATGGTGTATCCTCACCATATGGATAAGGCTTGACTGTAATTGTAGCTCATCTCACAGTTCCCAAACCCCTCACAGTTTATCTGTGCACTCCTGAAAGGACAAGAGGAAAGTGGAAATGGTCACTGTGTGTCCTCATTTGTCTCTGAACTGCTTCCACTAGGTTGAATTAACTTAGCATTGTGATGGTGGTAGTAATTTCTTTCCTATCCTGACGTGCTTCTAGAAGCAGTCTAGAAACCAGGTTTTTGGAATATTTAGTTCATGTTCCACCTTTCTGAGACCTTTTATTTTGAAAATGAAGACAAAGGCAACACCCATGATTTCAACATTGTAACATAGCTTCAAACTGGTTCCCTATGCAAATGTTCCTGCACAATGCTCTTCTCATCTCACTATTTACAGGACTGGCTGAATTAAGCTGTTTTGAACTAAGAAGTAGATACATATATTTTTAAAGAATGTTCATAGATCAACTCTGGCATAAAGTTTGTAAAAAGGCAATTTTTAAAAAGCAAAACATATAACCTCAGGTACAAAAAACTATTGCATGCATCAGTACTTAAAATCTGCCTATGACTATTAACCAAAGCATGCAGGATACTTTACCAAATGTAAACTGGCCCACTTGCCCTGTGCATGACTGGTGTCATAGGCTAGCTTGTCTTTCCACTCTTCTCAACAAACAAGCACTTCCTAATGTTCCAGTATTTTCTATGTGCTTTTCCCATCTCATCCTGTAGACGGTTGGCCTGCTGTCACATTGGCAATGACTGATGATCACAGATTGTTTCATACCCTGTAACTGCCAGTCCCAGGCCAATCTTCCAAGGGACCCAGGGACAGACATAGGTCCTTAAAAACTCATGTGAAGCTTGATAGAACTAAAACTGTGACAAGGACATATAATTGTCTTTGCACAAAAAGCTTTGAGCTCTAAATTCTTAATAATGTATTTCAAGTTTTCTTTTCAAAAAGTTTAGGGAAAAAATCAAAACATTGGGATTCTAACTTACTTGGAGAGGTTCAATGATGTCATAAACATGGAGATTGCCCTGAGGCAAAGTGGAGATGGGGCCTTCATTTCCCATTGGGATAGTATGTCACAGAGTAGAGGGTAGGTTGTTGTTCTATTTGCAAGGTCCAACTCCCTCTCCCTTTGGAAACTAGATTTGATCAACCTGAACAAAAACACTCAAATACAGGGGTAGGGAGATGATTTTATAGCCGGTGTCTTCTCTCTGTCTTTTCCTAAAACCCCAGTTTTATGAAAAGGCTGGGAAAGGAGTTTAGTGTGGCTAGTGCTGGGGACATAGCCTTACTGGTTTAGTGCTTGTCTCCCATGCACACAGCTATGGGTTTGATCCTGCAAAGCATTCAACTGGGCATGGTGGCACACATCAGTAATCCCGGCAAGTGGGAGGTGGGGGCAGGAAGGTCCGGAATTCAAGGCCATCTTCGGCCATACGGAGTTCAAGGTGATCCTGTGATATATAGGACACTGTCTCAAAAAAAAAAAAAATTAAAAGGACTTTTATTTAGGTCATATGTGAAAAACATTTTTTACCCTTTCATAATGTCCTGTGCCCTCCCCCACACAAGCCCAGAGTCTAAACTACTCTTCCCCAACACAGAGAAAGACCATGGTGTGGAGACAGTAAAAAAAAAAGGGGGGGGGTGGAAGCATTAGGAATTCAAAGTGTGAAGCTTAATAGTTTCTCACACTATATGTAGCTGCTGCCATTGCTACAGAAATACCAAATGAAATGCTCTGGGGACCAGTGCCACAGCCTCAGGGCCTCCTGAACCATAGAAAGGGTAACTGAGTATCCTTCAGCAAGACAAAGAGACAGTTGTAGAGAAACCTCACTGAAATGCATCTTTGAGGTTGGTTTGGGTTTTTCTTTTAATTGGTGGGAGAGGGGGATGACAGTTGCATACTAGGTAACGTGGATATCTGGCATGCTCATTGAGACTCAGGACATTCTCTCATAAGGATTTTGAAAGGATTGTGCCCTGTGATCAGTGAGTACGTGACCTGCTATGTTACCATCCGTGAAGACACCACAGCATAAATCAGTCTTTCATTTCCCCATCCATCATCTGACCCAAGTCCTCCTCGATTTTCATTACCCAAATTTGTTTACATCAGTTAAAAAATAACTGATTAATTCAGTAACTTTTTACAACCTATAAGAAGCATTTATTAACTATTTAGAAATATTTCTATGTATTTTATATATCTATGAATACTGCATATCTAGTCTAACCTAAAAATTGAGTTTTAAGAAAAGTGCCATGATGCTTTCCTTACTGTGCTTAATATCTTTAAAAAATCTGGGGGTTTCATCTTCAAGCTGACATAGGTAACAGAAAAACTTAACTTTAAAAGTTTACATTGAATTTCTAAATTAATACCAACCCCAAATTAAGTGATCTGTAGTCCACTAATGGCAAAGGAGATTTGAATGTTATTGGCATACTCTGAGATAGTATTTCTGTGGCATAGTGAATACACACA